CAAACTAACCTGTATTCACCTGAGTCATGCCGCATCAGCGCACAAGAGCTGTTTTTTTTTTCTTGGCTTAGTTTATACAAATTAGCCATGTGGTTTTAAGGTTTGTTTCTGTGCGACTTGCACAAAACTGAATTAAACACATTATAATGTCAAACGGGCTGATGTGGCTCTAGAGTGGTTACGGTTTATTTGTCGTAAAGTTGAATTTATTTATGCAGATTAGAAGTGCAGATAGTAATAATAATGATGATCATTTTAATATAAAAAAACGTCAATGATTAATCGGTAATCGATCGTTAATTCTCCCGACGATCGATTAAGAAAATTTAATCAAATGCCCATCTCTAGTACAGATACAATATAAGCAGCTACTGAGGTCAAAATAAGTCTGCATTAATCGATTATAAAGTGTTTTAATAATCATAGTAAGTGATAATAAGGAAGTGCGTGTTAGCATGCTAGTTATTGTTAGTATAACCACGATGAACAGTCGGCTACAGTGTCTTTAAAGCCATGTTAAAATGCTGTTACCTCCTCAAAAACAGACCTGGAGTTGTGTTTTGTTTCATTCACATGTTTCACTAACTCTTTATTATTAGTATGTCTACATCTCCAAAACTCAAAATGCTCCGTTCCACCTTGTGATGTCATGAAGAGGTAATTTTCAAGTGAACAGCTCCTTTTACCTTTAGTTCCGTAGAGATTGGCCTGAAATGATCCAAATGATTCTAGTGAAGTTGTAAAGAGTTTAAAAACACAACGGAGCACTTCCTGTATGAGTGTTTTCTGTTGGAGAGAAGAGCTCAGTGTAAATATGGAGAGTTTGTGTGTCAAACATGTGTGAATGAAACAAAACACAACTCCGGGTCTGTTTGTGATGAGGAAACAACATTATAACAGAGATCTGAAAATAGCGTAATATGGGCCTTTTAACTTTGTATGCTTGTTTTGTGTTGTGTACACAGACTCAACGACAAAATACCAGTTGTGTAACATGTGGGTGTGTGGGTAAGGCAGTTGTGTGGTTGTGGGATTGTTTTAAATAGACTGTAGAGCACTTTCTGTTACTATGTTTTTGTACATGAAGCACGTTCTAAATCAAACTTGATTGATTGAAGTTATAAAAGAGGCCACTTGTGTAATGTGATGTAAAATACACTAACAGGAAAATCACTTTACAGGTTCACTGTGTAACTTTTGGGTTTGTTCTTGTTTCTGTGCATATGCTCTGCTGAAAATGTTACACAGTATTGACAATAGCCTCCTTGGACCTGGCATATGGTGATAAACTGTAATTTACGGACTATAAGCCTTAGGGTTTTTTTTCATAGTTTGTGTGTTTCCTGCAATTTATACTCCGGTGTGATTTATATCTTAAATGTTCACACTGACAGTCACGAGAGGTTCTAGTCTTGTGTGTGAGTATCTGCTGCTCCTGTTCCTCCTGTACCACTGTCACTTCACTCTACTGCACATGTCTCCTGCAGAAAGAGTCTCTGTCCTGCTGCAAATAGTGAAATCTGCAGCTGAAAACTGTAATCGTGCAGCAGAAAGAAACTTTGGAGTGAGAGAGAAACTTGTGACACCGGGAGGATGCACCATGAAACTTTCCTGCAGTCACTGTCTGGATAGACAAATCCTGGACTTCAGTGACACCGAAACCATCTTGTCCGGAATAATTGTAACTGGAACTGATGCTGAGTCTGACGACAGCTACACAGAAGAGGAAGTGGCGCTCTGTTTACCTCTGGAGGTCGTGGTGACACCGAGGATGAAGAATTGAATGGATTTAGTGATTTGGAGTGAGATGGAGAGTTTGGTAAACTTGTTCTGCTATAGTTTATCTGAAGAACTGTTCATATGTGACGTTAACAGTCTGTTGTTCTCTGCTCTATTCTTATAGAACTTGACTTTCAACATGAAATGTCTCTTCCTGGTCTCTGATTTTATTAAAAAAATAAATAAATTCCCCCAAAAAGTGTGACTTATAATCTGGTGTGACTTATATGTTTTTTTCTTCATTCATGCATTTTTTGGCTGGTGCTACTTATACTCCAAAAAATATGGTACTTTGGAGAAAATAATCCAACTCATCCACACATATTGGTCCAATTATCAGCATTAATATAACTTGCCTTTCAACATGAAATGTCTGTTCTTGGTCTCTGTTTTTTGGCTGGTGCGACTCCAGAGCAACAACTGTTAGTAGTTAATAAATAGTTTTTTGCAAATCATTATTCAATTGTGACTTTATTGTGTTCAATCAAAAATGACTAAAACATAAATTATATATCATATGTGGACATCATTTTTCTCAGAAACTACATCATGTAAAAATATAATTCTTTGTTTTTGCACTCATCAGGTCCTAATCGGCCCAAATAACAAAGAGAAATCAATAAAGCATGTCACACCTGTCGTAGGAGGTTAAACAGCTCTACTTTACATTTACACAATTACAGGTGGTTTTATAGCTCAAAAATACCCAGAAAATAGCATTCTGACTGTTGCCTCTGAAATGTAACTGGGTCTGGATTGGTGTCTATTAAGATAGACAGGTTTAGCACCATACTGTGACATATTCTAGACAAAGCTATGACATCTACATTACAAAAGTTACACAGTGTGCCTTTAAGAGTGCTCATACTTGGTTGCAGTGGTCAGTTACAAATGCATGAGCATAAGAAGAAAAGTATGAGTATGATAAATAATTGTACTGTATGTAAAAGTGTTGTATTGTAAATATGGGTTTCTAAGAAGACAGCAGAGCCACACTAACTGCAAATGAATCACTTCCTACACTCTTCTTCAGTATCTGTGTTTAGCTGAGTTAGAAATGTGAAGAGGAACTGACTTTATAACAGAAAACTGGACAAAAGAGGGCAAAGGTCCTCCCTTCAGTGTGTGCTCTTGTGGCACTTAGTCATGACAAAATGATATTGTTAACAGCAGTAATGACGTCAAAGAAATTATTAGCTTCAACATTTAGGATTTTTCTAATTTTTTTCTAATGACTTATGGTTTTTGTCTTCTGTTTTAACTTTTTAAGGGGGTACAAAGCTCTGAGTCATTTGCTCTTTGCACAATACATGAATTTCTGAATGAAGTGCAAGTTATAGATGACATCCTTAACATTTTATTAAGATGTAGCCAAACTTACATATTGTTAATTTGGAAATTGTTTTGTGTAAGTGGAAAAGTATAGCTTTATAATGGTCCAATGCATGAAAACACCCTGTATTAGATTTATGAGCATTTTGTGTATTTTAATTTAATAATAGGTGCTGTTTCCACAAACTTGCTGCATTAATCTTCCCACTTCATATTATTAGGCTTGTAACAATAACAGATTTTGCTGGAGGAACTGGGGGACAACCAAAAACAATAGGCCTAAATACTTAGATGTAGTGTGGCTTACAGCAAGGACTTGTTCACAAAAGATACACTTGAATAAACCACTGTTGAACCAAACATAACCAACACAATAAATAAAGATGGATTATTAAGTCTGTGTAAGAAAACTGGCTTTAAAGTGGCCCCACACGGCAGCTTTCGTGTTCAGCTTTGAAACTAATTCCATCTGTTTTCAAATCTCAACTAAGTTGTGACTTTCTACTCCTCATGGTGCTCTCCACTCAGTGCTGCTCTGAGACCATGTGATCGGCAAGCATAGACCATATATACAGTATAAATCAGGAGTCGGCAATCTTACATACTCCAAGAGCCATTTGGAGCGTCTCCCACAGAAACAAAAACACCCAGAGCCACAAAACCCTTAGGACATCTAAAATGAGGATAAACACTGCATATCATTTTTGTACCTGTGTGCTCTGTATAACAGACTACACTGTGTTGCATTTATTATCAATAAAATGCTTACAGAGAACACAGAATTTTATTTCTGCATGTAAAAAAAAACATATTGAGCTCTGAAAAGAAAAAAAAAACACTTGGTTGATGCTTACTTTCAAATGAAATACTCAATGTCTATTTGAGTCGTTCTTGTAGGAAATAGAAATCCAAACTTAAATTATCCACCCACAGCGAACCAAAAATGCCGTCTGCTTCTGTGTTCCAGCATCATGTAAACCAGTTTTATCAGCCATGAAAGCACTTGAATCTGCCCACGTAGCGTTAAACGTTCTGTACTAAGTCGTGCTGCTGTTGTAGGTGCTGCTGTTGTAGGTGCTGCTGTTGTAGGTGCTGCTGTTGTAGGTGCTGCTGTTGTAGGTGCTGCTGTTGTAGGTGCTGCTGTTGTAGGTGCTGCTGTTGTAGGTGCTGGTAAGTCCGGGCTGCCAGATATATGTCAGGTGTCACACACCAGCACATAACTGCTGCTGTGAGCCTCATCACTTTGGTCTTTAAGTGTTCATATTAACCCGCTCTACATGATCCTGGTGGGTTTTTTCACTGTTTTGTCCACACAAAAAATCCCATTCCTAATATAGAGCCTGACTTTAAATTCGCTTCTGTAACTGTGAGCATCACGAGCTTCATTTGAGTGGTGCTGAACACTGTTTGTGACGTCACACTCACATAGCCCACTTTTTTATACAGTCTATGCAGGCAAGTCGCCTAACTGACACGCTGGTTCAAGCGCCATTACTGTAGGGAAACGAGAGGAGTGAGTAGAGAGCAATAGAAGCCTTTTGACATTCAGCCTCTTCAGTAGAGCGAGAGACGAGGAAAACAAACAAACACGCAAATAGAAATGATCGCAGCATTAAGAGTTATCGAGCTCGTGAAGTTATGTGATTAATGAATTTATTGATTATCATTACAGGGCCACATATTATATTACTGTGAGTAACACCACCTGATATATATTATACAGTATATCTGACATCACATGAAAGCCACATCTGGACACATAAATAATGTCCCCTGCCTCAAAGCTGATCGTGTTTTCACATTTGACCATCTGAATCTCAATAAACAGCGTGTATGTAAATGGAACCAGAGTAAATAAATAAATAAATGCGTGTGTGTGTCCTCCTCACCGAGCAGAGCGTTGAAGAGCTGGCTCTGAAACACAGAGATGACTCGGTCGAGGCTGGAGTGGAGCTGCGAGTCGTCCTCTGACCCGGAGCTCTGCCTCTGCTCCAGTTTGACGCGATACTGCTGCAGGAGCTCCAGAGCGCGCTGGGCATCTGCACACAACAAACACACAATCACAATCCAGCACAACAAACACACAATGTAACACAACTTAGCACAACAAACACACAATCACAATTTTCACAGACATATGTCACAAAGACACTTTATTGATTCACTTCGGACCCGGTGGTGGTAAACTACTATTGCAGCCACATGTGCCCTGGGGCAGACTGACAGAAGCGAGGCTGCCAATCTGCCCCTCTGACTACCAACACTTACACACACACCACTTTCCCAGTGCTCTCCCAGCAAAATACTAACCAGGCCCTGCTGAGCTTCTGAGCTCTGACGGGATCTGACTTTGACAAGGCGGTTAACACAACAAACACACAATCACAAATTAACACAACAACAACAAGTACAGTTATATGCCAAAGACGTGCACACATCTGATACAGATAACTGATATTCCATCCATTCAGTCGATATCGTGGTTGGACAGCTGAACTGATTACTGATGTCTGTGTGACATATATCTGTCAAAAGTGTTATATAAATAAAAACTTTACTTACTTGCTTGACTTATTTACTTACTTACTTTACTTTCTTACTTACTTGCTTACTTACTCACTCAATTACTTACTTACTTACTTACTTATTTACTTACTATTACTTACTATTCACTTACCAGAAAATATGGTGATGTTTGAATCAGAAGTTATTTGTGGGACAAAATAACTAAGAGCTACATGGACCCGGTCAAGCAGAAGTAAACAGCAGGGCCAAAAACTCAAGTTAATGCATCTGATATAAAAATGTATTGAACAGATACATATGTACTCTAGTTTATGAAACTGTTGACCATTTTTCTGTACCAGTTTTGGTTTTAAAGTTACATATGTACATAACAGACCATGTCACATGTACAATTCTTAGGCCTTGAACTAAAATGATTTCCCAAATTTCAAAGACCTGCAAATCCTCTTCAGGTTAACTTTCAAGCTTCATCTTCGACTAATCTACATCTCTAGGTAGTATACTTATGAAAATTAAAACTATTAGTGGTTAGTATCTGGTAAAACCTGTGTTTTACAAGTCTAAAAAAAATGTAATTTTCCCTCTGTTACTTTTCCCTCCGTTACCATGACCTTTCTTAATAAAAAATCTCATGACTCAAAAAGTAAGAGGTTTTTCAACCTAATCTTGTACCATATGGTAGAAAACTATATGAAGCAAATATTCAAACCAGTTTGTTAAGGATATGTAAGTGAGAACCAAGAGTTATCACTGTTTGTGTTTATTGCCCAAAAAGTGCTGCATATTTCATTCCCTCCGTTACCGACATGAGTTTTTTAAATTTTTTGTCAACAACTTGAAAGAATATCACAGGTTTAACTTGACCCTGTTGGAGTGTAACTCTTTCCTACATTCTGATACTTTACTTATTTCAATAGTCCCTCTAGTTTCTGAATAAGAGACATTTGAATGTAAAAAATCTGTCCTGTTTCCCTCCGTTACCACTTGACCGGACACATATAACACATCTGGATCAGCTTGGTCTTATTTTATTTTTGTATTAAGTAAAAAAAAGAAATGCTTTTTCACTCTCAACACTGGTATCGGTTGATATCGGGTACTGGGCGATACTTAAAGCCATAGTATTGGAATCGGAATCATAACTGAAAAAGCTGAATTGGTGCATCTCTAGTCACAATAGATCTCGGTATAAAAATGAGAGATGAACCATTACTTTGGCAAACAGTTGCAATGACAGTTCAGGATAATCATGACCACTAAAAAAGAGCTGCAACTAACAATTATTTTAGTATCCAACTAGTGAGCCTTTTGTATTGACCACATTAGTTTGCTCTTTTGGCAGAATTTTCCATAGTTTTCCGAAAGAAAACAGATTACTCACGTCAGATGAAACTGTTCACATCATTTCAATAACACGAACTCCAAAAATGAGATTAAGAACAGATTTTTGGTGTCCATGTATTTGTAAACACACAGGAAATACCAGATCTAATTATTGGTTTATCTGATTATTGTAGAGGTCAAATTTTTACTCTTCATGACATTTCAACCTTTCTCGGTCTAAGCAGCACAATCCATTCATTAAATACATATAATATTTTACTTAAATTGATTCAAACGGATTAAAATCGGTATCATAACTTCCCAAACAAAGGTGTTATTTTTCCCTTTCAGTGAATTGCTTTTGGTGACTCGTCTGCCTCTTGTTTACGTCTTAATTTTATGAAATAAGTGTTAGATTGTTTCAATGCAAATGTATCCGGATACTTTACTATTGTCTATTCTCGGACACAGCGTACAGTAATTTGAATACATCTTCCCATGACTCAAAACCCAAGATCAGTTCTGCCTGTGACTGAAGGTCCAGATTGGATCTTGCCCTGGGAGAGTTACCTGAGCTGTAAATGATTAGAGAATACAACTTAATCAAAGATCACATCACAGTTAGGGTATAACTCTGGAGCTGTTGGTGACTGCACAATAAACACAAAATATATAGTACGTCTTAAGCTGTGTTGATTAAAGGGTCCATATTCCACTCTTTACTGATCTTTGTTATAATCTTGTTTCCTCGTCAAAACAGACCTGGAGCTGTGTTTTGTTTCATTCACACATGTTTAATTAGGCTGAGTTCTTCTCTCAAACAGAAAACACTATTCCACCTTTTGATGTCATGCGATAATAACAGGAAGTGCTTCAGTGTGGGTTTACACTCCTTCACTTGAATCATTTGGATGATTTCAGACCTGGAATTGCCACTCTCTACTGAAAGGTAAAAGGAGCTGTTAACTTGAAAATGACATAGCATCACAAGGTGGAACAGAGCATTTTGAGTTTCCTTTAGAGATGTAGAAAGACTAAAGCTTCTGAATGTGCTGGACACCTCTACTTGGTCGCCTTTGCATTTGAGTTTAGACACTAGGGATGTGAATATTTGGCAAAAGCACTATTCGAAAATCAATGACAGCTATTCGAATATTATTGCAAAATCGACCCCCCTTCCCCCACCCGCACACACACACGCATATACGAGATGACAAATGAGGTATTTAAGCGCAAAAGGTTTAATCAAACAACAACCTTCCAAATCAGAAACGAACATCTTAATTGAGCAACCCACATTCAAACAGCAACAGATTCAAAACATGCTTTTGTGCCACTAGTTGTTAATCTGCTAAACTCAGATAGTGCAGTTAAAAAATAATTATAAAAGGCTTAGGGAATGTGCAATCAAAACTGCACATAGGCTTAGGGAATGTGCAATAATTAATAGAATAGAAGAATGCAAAGGGTTTGCCTGTTCAGAATAATTTAGGTCCTGTTGGTGCATCACTCGTGGTCAGACTTAGTCTCATATTTATTTTGTTCTATGGTGTTTATGTGCTGCTTTGTGTTGTGTTGTCCTGTTTTTTGATCAAACATGTTACCCCCTGTCCCAAGACAAATTTCTCCCATGGGAGACAATAAAGGATTATCTTATCTTATATGAAACAATATGAAATTATATTCAAAGCTATCTCAATTTTAAAAACGCATGACCAACCACATACTGTAGCCCACTGCACTACTTTCATTGAACTGCCCACTACAGAGAACACTCGCTCCGATGGCACGGACGTCGCAGACACACCTAAGTAAGCGCTCGCTAACTTTGCCAATCGGGGGTATTTCTGTTTGTTTTTTTTCCACCATGTCATCAGGTCAGTGTGGAGCGGTGGGCATAGATCCTGGCAGTACTGAGTCAGTCGCATGTTCCCGTGTTTCGTCGTGTTTCGCTCTCAGATGGCTCTGCATGGTAGTGGTTGATCTATGGTTTACTCGCTTCACCTGACAGATTTTACACTGAACCTCTTTGTCATTTAACAAAATAAATGACGACCATATGGAACTTTTACTTGCTTTCTGCATTGCTAATGCCGCACGATAAGTTGTCTTCTTCTGTTATTCCGGAGCAGCCTCTACACTCGGCATAGTCTACCGCGCCTACAGGGAGTTTACAGTCTGTTAGCGCCACCTTCTGGCCGAATGCCGTACATGAAATATTGGTTAGGAAATGTCTTTATTCAAAATTACTATTTGATAATCGAAGGTATGACGAATATTTAACTATTCGAAAATCATGTCTCATCCCTATTAGACACCCCCAATCTTGGACATCTTGGATCAACAGAAGAAAAATAACTGATGAGTGTAGAGGATGTTCTCGATGGTCTCAGTGTCATGTTTTCCCTGTCGAGAGAGTCACTTTAATGTATTTATTAGGGGTGTAACGATATCCAAGTCTCACGAAACAATATCGACACGGTATGAACCTCACAGTACGATATTTTTTGATATCGTGGGAAAGCTCATGATATGCTGGAGAGGCTCACGATTAGGGATGTAACAATATCCAAATCTCTCTGTACGATATTTTCACGATATACATCTCATGGTACGATATTTATTGCGATATTTTGTGGAGGCTAAGCAGCTAAAACTGTGAATATGCGACTTTTTCCTCTTAAAATGCCTTGACAAGACTTAAGCCAAAGAACTAAGACTTAAAAGTGTTAGAACTGTTATTTCTTCTTGTAGTCTGCGCTAAAATGGAAATGAAATGGAGCAAAGGATCATGGTCTATGTAGTTCCCTCTGTCTTTATGAGCTGCTATTTATTACAGTGAAACATGGTTAGGCAAGGTGGTGCTGTCGAAAAAGTGAGTAACGGGGCGGGGTGGTGCGCGGAGATTCCATGCACGGAGAACAAGTGAGGAGTGGGAGGGAGGGGGGCGCTCAGATTCCATGCACAGAGAACAAGCGAACAGCGGAGGGAAGGGGGGGACGTGGAGAATCCGACCATATTTTTGCGAGCATTCATGTGGTTTGGAGGGACGTAGTCAAGGCGGGGGCCACTTCTTCTCACAATGGCAGCCTTGACTATAAAGTGCTACGGGAAACACTGTATTACATGAAACCCATCAGCATATATATATATATTTATACTCTGCTAATGACATGGCGTAGATTTCTTG